GGGCGGGGTGGAGAGTTCTGCCTTAGGCCCAGCCCCAAAATAGCATGGGAATGTTAGTGCCTAGGTGGTAGTGGGGAAATCGTATGCAAAAAGAAACCAAAAAGGAGAAGTCTGAGCTCAGTTCCCGGACAGTAGCGCTTTGGTGGGTTCCTGCGGCAGCCAGTCCCGTCATCACACATCCTTCCTCCTCCTCTTCCTCCTCGGCCCCAGGCTCAGGGCTGTCTGGCTCTGGTGAGGGCTTTGACGGGTTCCCCATCACCACCAGGACCACCACCACTACCACCCCCTGCTCCACCTCAAACCCAAAGCAGCTGTTTCTGCAGCTGCACATGGAGCAACAAGGACATCTAGCGGCACCATCGCCCCAAAGTCCCTTCGGTAGCGCCCTGGCCAAGGGGCACAGGAGGGCTGGTTGCACCCTGCGCACAGCCAGCGGCATGAGCACGAGCAGCGGGGACTGTGGCAGAGCTGGCCAGGGCCATTGCAACCCGAAAATTGAAGGCAGGCATTCTGCTATTTCACTGGAGAGCCATGATTTTGCATTAAAACCCACTTTACTTTCAAACTGCGTTTAGCATCCCCCGGTTAACGACATGATGACAGCAGGGCGGCTTTGCTGCCCCGAGGAACACGGGCACCGTCCACGAACAGGCGAACTCATCGCTCACCCCCAGCAGACGGCCCGAAAGCTGGCGGCACCAAGGGACGTGGCACACGTGGAGGCACCGGTTACAACCTCTGCTAGAAACGCCAGCCTCGGACACCAGGGAAGGAAAAAAGAAGTTTATGGCGGCCAGCTGGAGGCTACTAATTAGCTGCATTTTTTTTTTTGGCAGGCTACCTCACGTGTTTCTGGTTGCAGTCCCTCCCTATGTCTGCGACCGCCATGGAAGCCGCAGCCAGAGCCAGGGCACGAGCACGCCGCGCCGGCTCCTACTTCCCCGCTGCCTGCTCAGAAGTAAACAGGCCACCAGACCAGTGGGCAAGAAGGACTTTCCTCCTCGCCACAGCTGCCCATGCACCATCGGCCGTCAGAAGATTGTTTGCTGCTTTTCCCTTTCTCGAACCTTGGGACACGATTGCTCGCTAAAATGAGCAGCGAGCCAAGGTGTATCTATCTATCTATCGCCGGCCTCCTGCTTTAGTCCTATACTCCAGGACTGCTGGTGCGTGGCGTGTTATTCAGTTACAGGGACGAGTCATGTAGCCTGGTGACTGGAGGAGGGGATGGAGTAGAGGTCTTCTGCGCCTTTTAAATCTGGGTGTGCATTGCAGGCACTTATGATTGCAGAGGCCTGGAGTCGATACAGGTCTTGGTTCCAGTCCTCGCTCCAAGACTGCTTTAATTCTCTCTCTCTCGCAATACACAACACATGCACACAGCTTGGCTGGCAGCTTTAAAGAAATAATTTCCATTAATAATTCACTGGCAAGAGTGTTGTGTCACAACGGTTTACTAACAATAAAAAAAAAAAGGACACCAGGCTGTCTTAAAGACAAGCCCTGGATGTCTTCAGGTACGTAGAGAATCTACCACTCAGGAAACCGCACTTGGATTTGTATTTGACACTGGTTGGAGAAAAGCGTCTAATAAACGAGACGCCAAGAACAGGATCCTCTTAAGACGCAATCCTGCCTCAGAGAGCTCTGCCGGCCACAACGCTGCACCCACTCAGGACATCCGATACCAGTTTCGGCAGCCAGACAGAAACAGTGTAAAAGCTCTCTCAAAGCTCTCTCTCTCTTTTTTTTTTTTTTTTTTTATTCAAAAGCTGAATAAAATAAAGAAGCCAAAGACTTGAATCTTTACCTTTTTTAATCAAAAACATACTCTGTTACAGAATTTCAGGAAAGTTAACTACAGTATATTATCCACAAACTAGGTCTAATGAAAAACATACAGTAAAGCTACAAAGGAACTACTGGGAATTCTGTCGACCGCTTATCAAAAGGCAATGGCTAAAAGAAAAAAGTCGTTTATAACTAGGCTTTCCTGCTCAAAAAAAACCCTCTCATAGTGAGTTCTGGGTTGTGTGTACTTCGCAGCTATCAATCCATCCGAATCACAACTTAGTAGCGCTACCAAACTTCACCAAAAAGACAGAGGAAAAAAGTACCGGAGCAAGAAAGCACTAGATGATTTTGGTAACCTTTAAAGAATTAGTCCTGTAAATTTAGGAGTGATGCATCACTCGCACGCAAGGCACAACAGCAGCCAACAGTGCCAAAATCCCTTGAGATTTTGTAGGCAACAGTTCTACTTTCTATCAGGTCTCACCAAGTGACACTTTAACAGAACTGAAAAGTCAAGTCAGCTCTTAGGGAATGCAGCAGCACTACACATGGCCACGGCACTGACCCAGTACTGGTCCCAACTTCCAGATCGTTTTCAGAAACCTACTATCGAGAACAGCTTTTTGGAGATGGATGACACAACGAAAGGGCACATTCAGCATCCAAGTCCGACCCAACCAGCTGGTGGAAAAGCGCTCTTCATTGGTCCCGTCCTCGAAAGGTTCCTTGGCCAGTAACAAAGCGCTGACTACCTGCCTCAAGAGGTAGCAGAAACCAGCTTAGTGCTCTAGAACAACGCAAA